CTTATGTTGTTCTTAAAAGAATTAATGAACTGTTGTATCGAGTAAGGAAATCTGCGAACGCTAAACCTCGTGTCGTACATCGAAATAGGTTGTGGCGCTATCAAGGAACACTTAATTAAAACAATTAACGAACTTTATTCGGGACGAATAAACTAAGGAGGGGGCAATGTAGCGTGACATGCTCCAAGTATTATGTAAATATGTAAATAGTCTAATTGAATTGCCAATTAGGTATACACTTGTATAAATAGGTGTTTTTGCTTGTAATAAAGTTTTTGTTGTGAAACTCATGTTGGGCTAGCACGTTACAGTACACAAGCAATTCAACAAAGCGAAGTCAATTTCCAGAGAGGAACTACTGCAACATACCACGAGAGAGAAGAGAATTCTATTTCCGTTGGTTGTCGACTTCAACCCCAGGCTTCCCGATATAGGAAAAATCCTGAAGAAACATTTTCACCTTATCCAAGATTCACCAGAGTTACAAGAGATCTTTCCACCTAGATCTATATAATACCATCCTTCAGAAGGCCAAAAACTATCAAAGAAATTCTTTCTACGAAACGATGGCAGGAAACGAGCGGGGATCAAAGTCCAAAGGAGTGTTATAAATGTGGAAAGAAGTGCGACTTTTGCAACAACTACATGCATGAGTCTAGTACATTTGTCAGTAGTCAGACGGGGGTAAAGTACCCAATTAAACAGAACATTTGTTGCAATTCTCAAAATGTTGTGTACCTAGTTACATGTATTAAGTGCTCACGGCAATACATTGGATCCACGAGCACAGAACTGAAGGTCCGCTTTCGTAACCACAAATCCACGATGATTAACAATAAAAGGACATGTGAAGTAGCGACGCATTTCAACAAAACACCGCATGATTTGTCTGACTTGAAGTTTATAGGTATAGAACAAATAGTAAATGACAGTGATTCAAACACTATTGAGAAGCGATTGTTGACAAGAGAAGCATACTGGAGTGCGCAGTTATGCACTTTAAAACCTTACGGTCTCAATAAGAGATGTGAATTCAGGTCGAAGAACAGAATAAACTTTAGTAATTAGAAACAATTTAATTATTTCGCAATAATAGGCCATATTTTTAAACATCCCTAGAGTATTCTCATTTAGTCCTTAATTAGTTCTTAATTATTCATAGGCTAGGTTATAAATCGCATGAGTTAACTTCCTTGTGTTTTTAACTTTTTACACTGATGAAGCCTGTTTTGGCGAAACGTTTGTAATAAAACATTATTATTGATCTGTCTGGAGTTCGCCTTTCCTTCTGTATACCTATATATATATATATATATATATATATATATATATATATATATATATATATATATATATATATATATATATATATATATATATATATATATATATATATATATATATATATATATATATATATATATATATATAAATATATAAATATCAGTAGCCTCCCAAAAAACTTCATTTATATAAAGCTTCAAATTGAAAATAAATTTTATTAAACTTCAAATAAATAAATACATGTTGTAAAGATAAAGATACGTTTCGGGGCACAGCCCCTTTGTCAGAAACGAGATAAGTTCAAATCCATGTCCTTAAATACTTTTGGCCCAATCCTAATTAACATACACTAATATATATAGACTTGCATTAATATTCCTCCCTCAAATTTAATCCCAGTGGTACATATGTATTCAATTTTTCAATCCAAAAACTTTCCCTCTCTGTAGGTTTATTAACATCCGTGATATCAATAATCTGTGCTTTAAAATCATTAAGACCCGAATGGCCCTCCTCAAAAAAATGTTCATACAAATGTTGACCACATAAACCTCTTTGGCCCTTAGAAAATCTATTACGCGAACTCTTGTGGTTATTAAATCTAAGACGAAATGACGTTACCGTATTGCCCACGTATTGTTTATTACATTTTCCGCAAGTAATTAAATAAACCACCCCCTGAGAGTTACAATCAAAGTGATGGTTAATGTGAAACGTGCGCTGTTGTACTGTACTTTGAAAAGTATCAACTACCACGATGGAATCACAAACCTTGCACTTTCCCCCCCCCCACATTTAACCATCCCTCTAGCTGCATGCAACCTCAAGCATATGCAATTTAGCCCGAACAAGATGGTCTTTAAGGTATATATATATATATATATATATATATATATATATATATATATATATATATATATATATATATATATATATATATATATATATATATATTTATTAAATTCCTCAGACGTTTCGCCGGTTGAGGCTTCGTCAGTGAGTACAATAATCTGAATAATAAAATCGTCATCTATATATACATACATTTATCGCTTGATTGAGAATGTAAAAGCTAAAGAATGTTATTAAAAATGTTAATTTGAGTTCTAAGTTAAAAATTTTAAAATTAAGTTAAAAGAATGATTGTTATTATATTGTTGATTGTACCATTGAATATATTAGAAGCCTGATTGTTCCAATTAGTCAAACTAGATATTGATATTACGTCCAGCACAACCATTCATAATTCTGTCCGAATAATTCCGAATCTCAAGTGCTTCGATCACTTCACGCTCATACCGGTAATTTATATTTGAATGGAGGATTTTCCAACTTATTGTCGACTCGCTTTGTGGGTCAATATTGTGAGTCAATATTTTACATTGTCATCTGGTCTATGTGGGAGAAACCGAAAGAACAATACGATCGCGGATAAAGGAACATCTCCGAATGGACAAACAAACAGTTGATGTACACCTTAGAACTCACAATATTGACCCACAAAGCGAGTCGACAATATGTTGGAAAATCCTCCATTCAAATATAAATTACCGGTATGAGCGTGAAGTGATCGAAGCACTTGAGATTCGGAATTATTCGGACAGAATTATGAATGGTTGTGCTGGACGTAATATCAATATCTAGTTTGACTAATTGGAACAATCAGGCTTCTAATATATCCTATGGTACAATCAACAATATAATAACAATCACTCTTTTAACTTAATTTTAAAAATTTTTAACTTAGAACTCAAATTAATATTTTTAATAACATTCTTTAGCTTTTACATTCTCAATCAAGCGATAAATGCATGTATATATACAGGATGATTTTATTATTCAGATTATTGTACTCACTGATGAAACCTTAACCGGCGAAACGTCTGAGGAATTTAATAAATAATCTCACAATTTGCCTGAAGAAATCTATATATATATATATATATATATATATATATATATATATATATATATATATATATATATATATATATATATATATATATATATATATATATTATATATATATATATATATATATATATATATTAAGATAAAAATGTTCTAGAGTGTGTATTATACAATTTCCATACCCAACGCAAGCAGAAAGATGTTGTCTGCCGCGGGTGGGTCTTGAACCCGCGACCTTCGAATTACTAGATCGACGCTCTACCAACTGAGCTACACGGTCAGACGGATTTAAGACTTTATTATACTTTAATTATTATTAAAGTTGATATTGTTGCCATTCCTTTCAGATTCGAATTCGTACGGTTTGTCTGGTGGAATGATTGCTGGTATTGTTATAACCATATTGATACTAGTGGCTGTAGCGGCTGGTATTGCTTTCCTTTTCTATCGTCGCAGACAAGGCAGGAGTTTGTTTTCTCCACAACATTATCACAAACCAATTACGTATTCCTCAAAAACGGGCGAAATGGCTGAATTAATGTAACCATTAGACAGCAGGAAGAAAATTTTTAATAATTATAAAAGGGATTTAATTAGTAAACTTTTTTTCGTTTGGTATTGCGCGTTAGTTCATATTTTTTAATCGAGCAAAATAATTAGATTTAAATGTAAAGGAAACATGACTATGTTTATAAAATAAGATACATCTATCGCTCAAGTCTTGGTAATTTGGAATTTTCTGTTGATCACTTGTTCTAATATACGAATTAAATTTAAATCAATTGTTGTTTGTTGCCACTTGCAAACAAATGTTGTTTTCACTTCTTATCTCTCATCGGTATTGTATTCAAACGTTTCAAGCAGAAATAGAAACGGAAATATTTTTCATTAGTTTAATGCATGCAACTGTTTCAATGGGTGTACAGGTAATATATTATTTGACATTTTCAATAGACTTTGGATTACTTTGCCATATTCAATAGAATATTTCACCTATAAGATATATTTTGCAGTGTAAACATTGTCTGTTCACGGTGTAATACTAAATTGCTGACTTTCGAAATATCTGACAATTATTATGAAACTGCTCATGCGCAGACGATGCGCATTAACGACTTTTGCTCATAAATTTCGCAATTCAACAGACAACACGTGTATTTACAAAGTTAATTTGTTGATAGTATTTATACATAAATTTTCAAATTCTACAATTGATCAACTGAATTGACACTATACCGCTGGTCAGGAACGCTAGTGTTCAGTGATAATAAAGCTTGAATCTAAGATCTACCAATGGAAAACGTCAATCGAAAAGCGCTCACTACAATGACACAGAATTAATAGACTCCATTTTTAAAGGTGTGGCTATAAGCATTATTGTAAGCACAAAAATCGTTTCGCGTTTAACCTTTCCACCTTTAGTGAGCAACAACGATGAGTTTGTGTATTGGCCGTTTTGATTTAGCGACGTCTATATTGGAGACAGTGACGTGGTGGCTGTGGGGATGGGGGTGGGGGGCATGCCTCCCTCCCCAGCGATGGTTTCAAGAGGGGCGCTAAAATTTCTAAGAAAGGCCTGGATTAGTACGATCTATTTTAGGATTATTAAAGTTGATCCATTTCGTGATTATTAAAATTGTGACGTTGAGGCCCAACACTTCAGAACATTCAAGACTTTTGATATTTGATATGTTACATTAGACCTAATCTATTTCTTCTCTTCGTAGCCTACTTAAAATGCGATAAAGAACGTCTCCGCATCAACTTGTACGCAGGGCTTTCTCCCGAATTGTCAAAAGCTCTACTTTGACTTGCATTGGATTGTCTTTTAAACTTACTGTTCATTTGATATTATGCTCAAATTGCACAAACTAGCCTATAGCTGGGCGTTGTGAAAACCCGGATGCCGGAATATCAGCGAATATGGCGGAATATCACGGAATATGCCGGAATATTACGGAATATGGTGGCATATCACGGAATATCACGACATTTTCCCAGAAGATACCGGAAAATCACAATATTTTTCGATGTTAGACGTGCGACTGTTTATAAACATCGACGCCTGACAACATATTTTATTTAAAAAGTGACGAATCTTTCCTATTTTGACGGTAAGTAACGAACAATAACTCTACACTGGAAGTTTTATATGTTGTTATATCATTATTACGATCGAGCGTTCACCAAAAATTTTGAATCAATATGATTAATTCCTCTCGAGCTGCAGCGGCCTGAAAAACAAAAGTGCTGACGTCAGCATTACTTTCGAATTGTGTTATATCTTTAATCTTTAATCTTTCTAGAATTTCACATTAAATAGTAAATACTAAATACTAATTCTGCTTCATCATTGGTCATTGTCGCTATACGGAGTCACGTGAGAGAGCGCGCGAACCAGATGGATCAGTTGTGCATGATCCTTCGGTGAGATCAGATCATTCAAAGCCTGAGCGAAAAATTTTTCAAAATAAAAGTTATCTTTGTACAGTATTTTCAGTTTGTAAAATAATGTCGAGAACAAATATTGAAGAAGGAGAGATTCTTTCAGCGGAACAAGAACAAGTATTGCTCAATGATGATGAAGAACCCACAAAAACCACTGTCGACTCGACAGAGGATAGGTGGGCGAGCATGTTCCGAGAGTTTAAAGACGACGTTTTGGAGCGTTTTTCACGCATTGAGGCCAAACAAGAAAGGCCCTCTAAACGGCGGCGTAGACGCAAGTCGTCATCGGCCGAAGAGTCGCCTGACGACGATATCTCTGACACAGAGAAATTATGTGGAGCGGTAGACTCTGCCGAAACAAGTAGTGAGCGAGAGGGCGACACGCCAAATGGGCAAATGATTTCGGAGCCCGATGATAATCTGCTGAGCGAAATTGCTCAAGAGTTTGACAGTGGCAATGACACAGGGCCAAACGTAAGCGAGAAACTCGCTGACATTGTCAACAAGCGTTGGGCTGAAAAGCTGGATGATTCAAAATTTAAATCCAAATTGGAAAAATACAATAGACCAGCAAACTGCACTCGCCTCCTTGTCCCTAAGGTAAATCCCGAAATTTGGGCGAATTTAAGCCACAACACAAAGAGTGCCGATTTACGTATCGTAAATTTTCAAAAAACACTCACGAAAGCTGGTAGCGCATTGACTAAAATGACAGATTCCCTTTTGGAATTGCGTACCAAACTCAGTAAGTCAGACACTGAACAACAGAAAACTCTGGGTGAGCTCGTTTCGGGTAATGCTGATGCATTGGCGCTTTTAGGGCATTTGAATATCGACCTGTCGCTGCATCGCCGAGAGTTGATTAAGCCTCATTTGAAGAGGGAATACGGCGCGCTTTGTTCGACACAAACACCGATTACCGACTTTATCTTTGGCGATGATCTACAAAGCCAACTTTCGAGTATCACTGCGTCGAATAAAATTGGCCAAACTACAAGTGCCTTTGGCAGTGGGGCGACTCCTCGGCGCTATTCTGACAGCCATAATAAGTCTTTTAAAGATAAGTCTTTTTTATGGCAGCGCAAAGGAAGGGCGTATCGTCCATATCAGTCCTCTCAACAAAGCAAACCCCAGAGGCAGAAGTACCACAACAGGCCGAAAAATTAAAGCCAGATGACCAAATTAAAGTATTTCCTGATATAACTGAGGTAAATTTGTCTGATGATGTATTAATAAATTATTTAACATATAAAGTTACCTGTTTTAAAGCAGGCAGACTAAAACATTTTTATGCCGAATGGGCATCGTTAACCTCAGACACTGAGATTTTACATATGATATCGGGTCAAAAACTTGAGTTTTGGCACCCTCCTTATCAAGTGTTTGTCCCACGAGAGCGTAATGATTGGGACGCCACCCAAACGCAAACGTTTGAAACTGAGATAAAAAGTCTTCTTCAGAAAGGTGCCATTGTCCCATGTGCGCATGAACAAGGAGAGTTTATTTCTCCAATATTCACTACACCTAAAAAGGATGGGACTTCGAGAATGATACTTAACCTTAAAGGTTTAAATAAGTTTATCGAATATCACCATTTTAAAATGGAATCTCTTTCAACAGTGATCAGCCTCGTTAAACGTAACTGTTATATGGCTTCTGTTGACCTAAAAGACGCGTACTATTCTGTGCCAATTGCAAATGAGCATCAAAAATACTTAAAATTCCTATGGAAAGGCCAACTTTATAAATTTGTTTGTTTCCCCAATGGCCTGGCTTTTTGCCCGCGGAAATTTACCAAGTTGCTTAAGCCTATTAGTTCATCATTAAGACAACTTGGCCATTTGTCAGTCATATAGATGACTCTTATCTGCAAGGGGATGACTACCGCGACTGCGCTAAAAATGTCTTAGCAACTATTAAACTTTACGACTCCTTAGGGTTTACTGTTCACCCTAGCAAATCGTCATTTATTCCGACACAAAAATTAATCATTCTCGGGTTCTTAATTGATTCCGTAGAGATGAAGGTATACCCCACAGCAGAAAAAAATCGAAAAGATAAAAACTGCTTGTCAGGAGCTATTAACTAAATCGTCACCGAAAATTCGTGAAGTGGCGTCAGTGCTGGGATTTTTAATATCTGTTTTTCCAGCTGCCCTATATGGACCTTTACATTTTCGTGAGCTTGACATGGATAAAACGGAAGCTCTTAAATTAAACAAAGGGAATTTTGAAAAACCCATGTGTTTATTATAAGTAATAGCATGGCTTGAGGGAGATTAGTGATTAAATGGCCCCGTAACCCGAGGCAGGTCTGCGGAATTCCCGAGGGCGAAGCCCGAGGGAATTCCGCAAACCTGCCGAGGGTAAGGGGTCATTTAATCACTAATCTCCCGAAAAGCCATGCTATTAGTTTGTAATAGCATAGTTGCGCTCCCATTTAAAAATGGACAAACATGCCCTACTTGGAATCAGCGTATTTAAGCTAAAACATTTGCTTCATTGCTTGTGGGATGTAAAAGCTTGTTGCACATGCGCACTTTTTACGCTTTAATCGGTTACGCATGCGCAATCTATCATTTAACGTACCACAACAAAAACGCTAAATATATTAGTATAAAATTGGAGACTGTACGTGCGTAATTTAAATGATGCGGCAACTCAGGGATCGGATGATAGACTATTGACGGCTCTGAGCTAACTGTTGCTGTTTCCTTGCACGATTATGTGCGTGTGAGGCACTTGCCTAATGCGTAGTCGTCAGGGAGACAAAGTTGTGACCCTTGGTAACGGGCGATTAGTTCTAATCGCCCGCTGTAGCGGGCGATTAGAACTAATCGCCCGCTAGTTAGTAATCGACCCTGTTGAAACAAAAGAAACCCGGGCAACTATGCTATTATCTGACAAAGCATGTTCAGAGTTAAGCTGGTGGATTAATTCCGCTGATTCATTACATAAACCTATTTCAAACACCCTTCCAGAGATAACGTTATTCACTGACGCTTCAAATCATGGATGGGGGGCAGTGTTGAATAACTGTCCAATAGGAGGGAAATGGACCCCATTGGAGGCTAATAATCATATAAACTATTTAGAAATGTTGGCAGTCTTCCTTGCCTTAACCGCATTTCATAGCCAGTTATCCGGTAAACATGTTTGTGTCCGAATAGATAATATGACTGCAGTGGCTGATATAGGGAAGATGGGTACAAGCCATTCTCGAAAACGAAATGCTTTAACTCGGAATATTTGGGATTGGTGCGTACAGCACAATGTGTTTCTAACAACAGCACATATTGCTGGCAAAGACAACACTATTGCTGATGCCGAATCTAGAAAATCACGAAAGGATCTTGAATGGTCCCTAAATACAAATATATTTGAAAATGGTATTGGCCAGCTTGGTGTGAAGCCAACAATTGATGTATTTGCTTCGCGATTAAATTATAAAATCAAGCCATTTATATCTTATCAGCCTGACCCAGAAGCTGAAATAATAAACGCGTTCACAGTTTCCTGGCAACCTTATTTATTCTATGCATTTCCTCCCTTTAGTTTAATTACACTGGTTCTCCAGAAAATTCAGGAGGAACACAGTACGGGGGTAATTGTAGTCCCGCAATGGCCAACACAACCTTGGTGGCCAGTTCTAATGCGAATGATAGTGCAACAGCCCTTAATTCTACCTCGGACAAAACAAACTCTACTTTTACCGACCAACCCAGATTTGCTACATCCTCTACATCAAAAATTAACCCTACTGATGTGTCACCTCTCTGGCGACCCTTCGAAAATAAAGGCCTTTCACGCCAAGCTTTGTCCCTCATCATGTCATCCTGGAGACAAAGCACGCAACAGCAATACGTCCCGTATATCCGTAAGTGGGAGCAGTACTGTAGTGGCCGGGAAATTGATAACATTTCAGCTACTGTAGAGGATGGTATAAATTTTTTAGCCGAACTATATTCTGATGGGTGTGGTTATAGTGTCTTGAATACAGCCCGAAGTGCTTTATCGGCGGTAGTGTCTATGCCACAAAATAACACTTTTGGCAGTCATCCTTTAGTTTGCCGTTTCATGAAGGGTGTCTTTGAAACAAAACCATCTCTTCCTAGATATTCAGAAACCTGGGATGTGAACATTGTGATTAATTATTTAGCTTCACTTGGGCCGCCAGACGGACTGACCATGAAGGTACTAACATATAAGGTTGTGATGCTGTTGGCATTATTATCTGGGCAACGACGCCAAACATTGCATGCATTGGATATAAACGGTATGCAGCTTGATTCGGACAAGTGTATCTTTACTATCAGAACATTGCTGAAGACGTCTAGAGTTGACCATCGATCATTTGCCGCCTATTAAACTACTAGCATTTAAACCTGACCCTGCATTGTGTATTGTGACACATTTAGAAAGATACATCGACCGAACAAGAGCTTTAAGAGGTAACCAAGCTCAATTATTGATAAGTTTTCAAAAACCATATAAAGCGGTTTCTGCAGACACTGTAAGCAGATGGTTAAAGAAAGTACTTGAACTTGCTGGTATCGACACGAAAAAGTTTGGAGCGCATAGTACTCGTTCAGCCTCGACATCGGCAGCCAAAGCTATGGATATTTCAATTAACACTATCATGGAAAGTGCAGGTTGGACTCAAGAGTCAACATTTGTAAGGTTTTATAACAAACCTATTATAAGTAAGGACAATTTTGGCAACAGCTTACTGCAAAAATGCAGAGACAGTTAATGTTTGCGTTTAATACGCCATGTTATGTTATATAATTATGTTATGTTAATGTGTTCATGTATAAATAATGAACATGGGAGTTTGCCATTTGACTGGATATTTTACTCCCTCCGCACTCGTACTGCTTTAAAATCTCACGTGACTCCGTATAGCGACAATGACCAATGATGAAGCAGAATTGAAAAATTAAACGAGACTTACCTGTAAGGTGAAGTTTGATTTTGGTTCTGCGAATCATTGGTCTGGAGCTATAGGAGTCATGTGCCCACCCAAATGGTTTTTCCCAACCCATATTTGGTACGCGTGCTCCAGGCTTGTTTTAAATACTGATCCATCTGGTTCGCGCGCTCTCTCACATAGCTCCTATACTCCTATAGCTCCAGACCAATGATTCGCAGAACCAAAATCAAACTTCACCTTACAGGTAAGTCTCGTTTAATTTTTCAATTTTCACCGACTGTTGTTCGATAAATTTTATGTTGATATGACACCAATATGCTTCTCATAAAATAGTTATAACTTTAATTCAATTTAATAAACTGCACAACGTAGTTTTAATAAATAACCTTTTACCTTGAAATTGTCTTTGGCTCGTTTATATTCAGATTCAGTATATTATGATTGTGCACGGGAATTCAACGATCCAAATTTCGGATTTTCAGAAAACGCATTAAATAAACTAGCATGAATGTCCAGAGTTAGACACAATGCAAAATCCATAGAAAACAGGCACAATTCGGCCAAAATTTTCACGAAATGGGGCCCAGAATTGTTTGAAACATTTTGCCCACTCCACGAAAGGCCCCGCCATTTTGAAAAGGATCAAGCAGCTCATTAATATTCTATTTTGTGATTATCGACGATTGGAGATTCACCACAAATGCATGCCGAAACCCTCTGGCCGAAACCTATACTCGCCCGGGCACAGGTGCCCCAGCGAGTAATAAAGAATACTAATAAGGCAGTATCTATTGCAGTCGTGCCCTCATTAGTATTCTTTATATAAAAAAATACTAATAAGGCAGTATTTCTATTGAATTTGTAGTCGTGTTTGAAGCCGTCTATAATAAACTCGCAGGTCGTGTTTTATTAGGTCTAACACTCGCGCTGCGCGCTCGTGGCTTTTAACCTAATAAAACACTCCTGCTCGTTTATTAAACAGTACTTAAAAAAGGCGTTAATAATGCACGAGGAAAATACAAAAGAAATGAATGTTTAATTAATGTTTGTAAATCGAATAAAGATTTGTCCTGATTTACATAAACTTCAGCTTTGATTTTCTCGGCTTAGACAATGTTTATTTTTAAAATTACTTCGCCAATGAACTCATAAGGTGGATCATTTTTAAGTACGATAAAACATTCGCATCCGATCTGTATCTGCATGATATACAAACTTTCGCCTTTGGCTCGAGTTTGTATATCAGATACAGATCAGCTGCTCATGTTTTATCTAGTATTTACGATATTCAAATTTGTTGTTTCCGGAATTATAGTTTGTATAATTTTTAATCGTACTTACTTCAAGCGTGCAGTAATTGTAATATTAGTGTAGTAAGTATGTAGTTATAAATCAAATAAATTAATGTACAAAGTAATGTTATAATTATTTAATTAATACTTAATAAAATATACAATTTACTTAATATTCGCTTCTATAGCTTTCTAATTCGTCCTGAATTTCTTTTATATCAGAATATTAGCATTTTTTTCTGTGAGTTCTTATGCAAATTATTTAACACTTTCATAGTGTAAAATACGACATTTTGTTGCCACGGTGGAACAAAACCCGTCGTCGGTATACCTATACCAAATCGTAATGCCTGTTTTCCACTTCAACAGCGTCGTACTGGTGATCATGCGTAGATTGAAAATAGGTAGATAAATTCACGTACTTCTGGGTGTATTCGCGTACCCAGGGGCGCGGAACTGGCAATGCCCCCCCCCCCCTCCCCTCACTTTTTAAAAAGTGAAAAAGGTGCCCTTTTTCTGGGCTAAAGTGTCCCATTTAACGAAAAAAGTATTTTTTGAATGATCGCCCTCTTTGTTGGAAGTAACGTGCCCGAAAGTAAAGGCCATTTCCGACGTTATAGAGACTCCATATTTTCAAACATTTTCATTTGGCTCGTGACTGCATGCTGTCATAAAATCGTTTGATTTTGGTCATATACAAAAGTTCCCCTTTTGGCCAATGCCCCTCGAAATGCCTCCGCGGACTCTCATTGCCACTGTCTGCATGTTAAGATCTGATTGCATGACTTTACGTATAATATATATGTTTGAGGGTGTTGTTGATGTGTCAAGAGTGTAAATTTTCTACATTTTCTAAACAAATGTCAAAATTGCAAAATCTCTGTATGCTGAAGTTTTCAGCGGTATTATTGTATAAATTTCAAGTGGAAATATATTTTAGTTTATAATAATAAAGATGATTTTTAAACATCGTAAATTAGGTTATCAGAGGCTATCTGAAGTATTTTACTTTATTACAACGAAAGCATCAGCGAACCTAAGGGTTTTACTTTTGGTATATTACTGTAAGTTTAGCGAGGCCATGTGCATGGCGATAGGGTTTTACTTTTGGCCTGTAAGTTTAGCGAAACCCCGTAACTGTATTTGTCTGTTATTAAAGTTTTTATTATAGGCTGGACACGAATTAACGGGACAGGTCCAATGCAAGTTGTCAGCCATGCAGCTTACAAGAATATAAACTATTAAATATATACAGATTTAAGTAGTAAAAATTAGGTGTTATCATAATTAATAGCACCAGGTGTTATCATAGTTAATGGAATAGATGGTTTGGAAACTCATTAGAATAACAATATACTCATTATCTATGTTAGTCAACGGTTATTCATAAATCTGGTCCTTCACCGTCACGTGCGTATTGTATTTTTGCCCAACTAACCAATAGCAATGTTTTAGGAAAGTTACCTATAATGGTTCTGCACAATGAATATTGTGCTGAATAGGTCAGGATCAAATGTTGTTCTTAAGAGTTCCTTGTAAATATTATACAAGAAGCTATTAAGAATAAAGTTCCAGGCATAAGTTACTGTATAACAATTCTATGATAAAAATATGAACATTTAGATGTGCTCGTTTTGCAGAAAGGGGTCTGCAAATATGACGAGGAGCCCCGTCTTGTCCGACTGCAGACAATATGAAGGTGTAAAAGTGTCCATGCCTAGGTCAATATAAGCCGTATCTACATTTGTAGTAGAAAGTCTTTAATCTCTCTATCACATAGGCGAGAGGCAACAGGTGTATAGTTGCGTTAAGCGTTCCACAGAAGATAAGTCCTCGCGTTTAAGCTTTAAGATCCATAGCGTACACATTCAGTTCGCCGTTTCATCCACAAAGCAGAATCAGGGGACCATAGGGCATAGGTAAGAACTGTAATTTAGTTCCTAGTTCGAATATCAGTTAAATCCATAGCATTTCAGGAGACCAAGGCATTTATTTGCAGTAGACCGGATTCGCATACAGGGTGTATAAAAAAAGGTAATCGAACTTCAGCGCGCTATTGTATCCAAATTACTCTGCGTATGAACGAGATTTTAACACATTCGGAAAGATCATGCTTTTAGCTGTTGAATGATATCTTCTTCATGCCAAATGGATAAAAAATAAGCAAATACGAATCCGATAAAAAATGTTAG